GGTAACTTCACACTGGAGAAAGGATATATGACACACACTGGAAAAAAAAAAAAAAAAAAAAAAAAAAGCTTTTAATCAGGAATATTTTATAATATTCTGACCATTCTGAAAAGGTACCAGGCTTCCAAGATTCTTTGTAGTAAAATTACAATCTCTTTCACAATGACCAAAACACAGACTTCTCACTCTGTAGTTCTTTACTGACCTATTTTGATCTTGTGTGAGAAGTATTCCAGGAATGGCTTTCTTGTAAAATTGTATACTTCTCTGACATTGCTTTAGGTGAATGAAATAAATTAATTCTTTTTGTATCTTCTGTATTGCCTGGAAACAGGATATTTTGCTTTTCCATTTTTCCTTCAGCTTTAGCCTAAGAAACTCCAAATTAATGCATTCCAGTATTTCCTAATGTTAGCCTAATGTCTTTGGAAATTCAGTGATGTAATTTTACTCAGTGCGTGACAACAGCCACATCTAAACTTTTTTACAGCAACATCTGATACATTGACAATTCTGGCAGTTTTATGAAGTTTCCAGTACAGGAAAATTCTGCTTTGTTGATAATAGCAGCAGAGAGAAAGTGGTTTTTATCCAGGTTGTCTAATGGTACTTCTAAGGTGCTTCCTATGGCCCCTGCCTGTACAGTACAGCCTGCCAGCCTAATTTGAGTCATACTTTATCAAACTGCATTTAAAAAGTCATCATGTCTGTAACAGAAAAATAAGTTATCAGTAAATTCTTCTACACTGAAATATTGTATGATGGCCAATATCTTTTGGCATTAAAGTTCTGCACTAAACTCAAGGCTGCTCACACATAAGTTCCAGAAGACAAACTGAAGCTTCTATAGCCCCTTTACTATCCACACCCTCCATGAAGTGAACTTCAGCATTTTACGCAGTAGAAAACTACTGTGCCACTGGTCATTTTCAGCTGAAGGTACTGGACTCTTTTGCCTTAATTCTTTCTGGAGTATTAGTAGCATCATATGGATAAAATGCAATTTTTTATTCTGGCATGCTGCTCTGTTGTAGCTTTTACAATGCAGAATTATTTTAAGTTGCTATTAATATGAGGTATGTCCTTTATATTTTCATATATCCTTCTGCTGAGTGAAAAAAAATGGATGTAGTGAAACTGTTAACGAGCTGAGCCTTTGAAACCATGGGCAGGTGATGAAAGCCACCTCATATCTAAAGCATCCCCAGGTCACAGCTGCCACACTCACTGCAATTCATTGCTGTCACAATCTGCTGTCCCTGCTTGTTGTTGCTCTTTTCTTATTCATCCAACTCATATATCTAAACATTCCATTAGAAAAAGACATCTAATGTTTGTCTCATGTTCAAAAGGGCACAACACGCTTCTGAAATATAATTCTGAAGATTTTAGAGCTCAGAGTTCACTGCCAAATCTAAGGTGTTGCTTTGTAAGGCTTCCCTTTAATTTTGTCTTTGTCTCATCTCCTGAACATAGCAGGAAAAAATGTTTGGTTAGTACATAATCTCAGCTTTATTCCAACTTCTTATCATGAGGAAATGAAATATTGCCCAGTAATAGAAAGGCATTTGAAGCTTGTGAGTTTAAAGATAACAGCACTAACTGTGAACTCAGTGAATTGGAAGGAAAGGTCAGCAAGTCATCTACTGTGGCACTGTTCACAACAGAAATTCTTCTATCCTATGAACTATGTAGTTTATAATCTGAAGATGATTGTTCTTTGTTGTTTAATTAGATAAGGTAACTATTGATTTACTTTTCAAAGTAGAAAATTCTCACTGCTTCCAAGCAGAGTTTAAAACTGTAAACATCTTGTACTCTAATGTCAAATCTATGCTGTCATTTCAGGTTATGACGACAAACCCCAAGATGAGCAATTCACAAACTTTTCAAATCAACTTGTGGAGACATTGTTACTGAAGAAAAACATTTAAGGAAAATTAGGTTTAAAAAAATGAGGCAAAATATAATAAAAACAAAACAAAAACATCTGCAAATGAAGCAGTAAAAAAAAAAAAAAAGTTACTATTCTAATAACAAAGTTTTGTGAAAGAGAGCAACTGCACTATTTATCCATTTCTGTGAAAATAAAGAAAAAGGAGGTTTGACCTTCTCACTTACATGTATTCTCTAAGGTATTTATTTTTATTGTAGTGTAAGTTATTATTCATAAACTTTACATTGCCAGTGCAAGGTTCAAAAAGTATGCTGATTAGAGAGTTTCCTGCTCAACTACTCAGTGCATATAACTCAATGGACATTAAAATCACAGTCTCTGACTATACCTAGTAAGAAACAGGTAAATTGCCAGTGATATTATGTCCATGCTTATGGGAAGAATATCCCCCTAACAATGACCTCATGCTTTTATGATGCTGGGGTTTATATTTCAATCCTTTTCAGTATTGAAAAATTGGAACATAATTACTTGGCCATACTATCTCTGTTCACATGACCGTACTGTCTGACAGACAAAACCGGGGATGGAAATCCAGATCTCTGTTGTACAACAAATGGGCTGAAGGAAAGAGCAGGGAAGTCCTGCAACAGTAAGTTCCTTAGCCATGACAGTATTCTTTAATTAATTATGCGCAGCAAGCTCTTACATTTAGAAGGGAGTTTTGGATGGTAAATTAACCCTTCTGTTTAAGTATTTACCTGTAGTACAAATGCACTGTGGGCAATATGCCACGGGCCTTGACTGAAGAAATCACAGCAGCACTTACATAACGTCTCCATCAGATGCTTTGTAAATATCCCAAAACTCTAACTTAATTATGAAAAGAAAAACAAAAAAAAAACTTAAAAAAAAAAAGTGTATTTCACCCTTGAGTGAACATACTTTTCTAAACAGAATTTAGGTTAATTTGGGCATTTAAAAACACTTCATTGTAAATCCACAACTTTTTAATTTATGGTTATGTGCAAACCAGATGGGAACAAAAAACCTGGTTTGTTAAATAACTTGCACAAGATGTTATGCCAGGATGCTGTGCAGAAGTTGGCAGCTTTGATGAAGATTTTATTAGCATGAATACAGGATAGTTGAATTTTCAGAAATTATAGAGATAAATAGTGTGGATTATTAATACAAACAAATGCTTACATAAGTGAGATTCTGGGGGGAAAAATCCAGTTTAAAAAAAAAGTGTTGCTGAAGTTTTTCAAAGAGAGAACCAACATTTCTAGGTACTTTCAAAATATTCACCTACATTACAATGAATCTATCTTTCCAACTGGATGAGCTACAAGAATAAACTTGTGAGTAAGTTAAGGAATTCTGGGAAACGACAAATTTTCTGGTATGGGACTGCCTATGGTTAAAATAATATACATAGTCACATGATGACAGTCTCCCTTTCAGAGACTTCTGAGTCCAGCAAAACTCCCATAATGGGGTGAGATCTATGAACACACCAGGACCTGCTTTCCACAAAAAAAAAAAAAAACTGTTTTAAAAAGTTGTACTTTGAAGGTACCTGGTTTTGTTAACTTAGGCAACTTTAATAGGTAGAACTACTTTGTAAATCAGCTTTACAAGCTAAAGTCAGCCTTTCAAAGTTTAGGAACAGGTTACCAATGCTAAGAAGGTCAAATTTTTATACTCTTACAAATGAAATCAAATAGCTCATAAAAAATGAAAGAAGGCAAAATACTAGGAAAAATGATGAAAACAAAGTTTTGTTGCCATAGTAATTCATAATTATGAAGTGTTACTTAGCACATGTTCCATCCCAATTTTCATTATTTAGATATCTCTGTAATACCACTACTCACTGTTCTAATAAATAAATTAAATTTAGAATGAAATGGAGCACCATGTTATGTTCCAGAGAACTTTAGTATCATGTAACTCTCACTAAATACTGCTCAAGTGAAAACAGAAAAACAAAGGTGCAGAAATCACCATGTAATTGAACAGTTAGCTAACAGCAGAGTCTTTATATTCCCAAGATATGGGCAAGATGGGCAGTAGGGGTGGAATCCAGCCTTGCTGACATAGCACATAAAGAAACTATTTTTCTCTGTGTTAAATGCCCATGTCTTTGAATGTGAGAAAGGGATGCCACTGAAGGCCTCCAAAGGCAATCCTAGGCATTTGAAAGTGCAGGTACTTAAATTAGGTTATCAGACCATATTTTTCTAGGTCAATAGAAAAACAGATTTTTCAACTTTTAGTGGAATGATTCTTTATGATTCTGGGTTGTTAGGTTAAGGAGGACGGGAGCACAAGCATGTTGAAAATCTCAATAAAGTCAGATCTCTTCATGCTACTTAAGTCATCACAAACTTCAAAACTTTTACAACTCTTGACTTGAAGGTCCAAGAGATTTTAAGTTCACTCATTTTTTGTCAAAGCAATGTCATTGATGGACAGACTTCCAATGCAGCCCTAAAATAGCCTTACCTTCTTCACATGCTTATTTCTAACATAGGAATGCTTCAAAAAAAACCACTAAAGTTTGTGTACTTACTGTACTCCCTTATTAGAACTAAAGAAGGATAAAAGGTAAAATGTTCATATCTGAATAAATGTAAAATCAAATTATAAGTATCTAGTGCTAAGGGAGAAACGCCTTTATAAACAAAAATGGATCATCTTCAGTCAAAATGAGACTCTGTGTCTCATTTAAAAGTTGGATTTAAAAGGTGGAAGAATAGTCCCTTCTAATTTAAGAAAAGAGTAATTTCTTCCTTGATATCTTGAGGAATGTTGCCATTAGATTACAGACTATGAAATGTGAGAAAACAGAAAGCTGTGTATCAAAATGCTACAAACTGAGCACAGTTTTAGTACTGATTTAGAGAGGGGGAGGAGAACTGAGAAGGCAACACTGGCCACCAGCAGCCTCCTATGTTCCCAGAGATACAACAGTTGGGTTTCTCATACATATTGACTTCAAGGCTTACCTTACAAAATCTGACAGCTAGCCACCTTTATAATGTTTATTGCAGTTGTGAGTAGAATTATTTATTTGTTTATTTTTTTATATAGTTACCTTAATAACAGATGTCTCAACTCTGGATGGAGGACTCTGCACTTGTGCTGCTGCTGCCATGTTGGCGATGGTACTAAGGTGATTCATCTGGCTCATTGCCATGGTGACAGATGCTGGAGGTAGGCTCACAGGAATTAACGGGTGGGGCATCATCATAAAAGGAAGTTCCAATCCTGTTGGGGGATTAAAAAAAAAAAAGGGGGGGAAATAGGTTTACACATCTTTTTAAACCTTTTTTTCTTTCTCCTGATGGACAATATTCAAGTGATGGGTGATAAGATGATTCACACTGCAAGTCAAAGCAGTTATGTGTCAGCTCTCTTCTGGGACATTATCTTTTTATAATTTTTAATATCTGCTGTAAGGTGCCCTAGCAATTCAATATTATGCCACCTATGCACAGCTTAGCAGTTATTTTAAGTATCAATTTTATTGCATATGCATTTGTTTTTTATTGTCTCTGCTTCCCCTGCTTGATGTTTTAAAGGAAGAATTCCAATATTCCTCACATCTTTGATTTTTCATAGCCTATTTATATAGACACAAAATAAAGACAGGAATGGGAAAACTACTGATGTTAGTGCTGAAAGATGTCAACCCGTACCATTTGTCAGAAGGTGGTTCTGCTGAAGAGGGTTGAGAGGATGGCTAACTGGAACATTATGCTGTCCAGGCAAGTTGGGGTGGTTAACAGAGGCCTGTGATCCTTGGGTGGGGGGAGACTGAAGTTTTTCTTTATCCCAAGAACCATCACTGCTGCCTGTGGGGAATGAATATATATTATTGGGATGAAGGAAGACTCCAAATTTTCAGTGTCTGAATTTGCAAGCAAGGCCAGCAATCTCACCTTTTTTGCAAGTTATATGTTTTTCTATTTTATTTTATTTTTAATATGTGGGCTGGGGGGAAGGACTTATGTGGATTTGTTTTTTTTTTCCATCCTCTGAAAAAGACATGTAGGGATGACTTTTTAAAGTTAAGAGTCAGAACACAAATCTAAAAGTATGATAGTTATGCTCATTCACATGAAGTTTGTGTTTGATGTGTATTTTACACACACACTTGCCATTCAGTGCAAGAAAACTATGTATGGCATTTGTTTTATACGTGAGAGAATATTTTTGCCTGCAAAATCGCTAAAACCAAGAGTATTGTCAGTTATGCCAATTAAAATTTAAACTATACTCACATTTCTTCTTATACTTGTGAATAAATAAACATTATAGGAAGTGTCTAAAAATTTAATTTATTGAGGGCACCAACATGTGTGTATATGCACTGGGCTGACAATACAATTTTTATTTAAATTTTATTTCACATTGTTATTAATTATTAATTGAGTCCTGCAGTCTTCTTGTAGTGGAATGGACTAACAGCAAGGAAGAATGTGGACAAGTAAGTGCTGAGACAAACAGTGATCCATATATTTAAGAAATACCCTTTTTCACTTTTGCAGATCTCCCCCACAGAATTAAACAGAAGGATACAATTAAAAGAAAACACTAAAAATTCATATAACATTATTAATTTGAACATTTATATATAATGAAAAGTTCTACATCTTCTGATGTAGCAAATTATATTATTCATGGTGCATATTTATGTGTAATGCTGAGACTGAGTATATGTATGTTTATGTATACAAAGTAATCTATACACTCAATGTGTAAGTCTATTTACCATACACAATCAATAAACAATGTTTGAATATATTTATAAATATGTATATATGCATGTACTTTCAGCAGCATTAATATACAAATTAGCAATATATGATTGCTTCCTTTTTCATGTAGAGCAAAATTTCACCCCCCTGAGTCTGAAAGATTCTACTGTTTTCATGTGAATTTCTCTTGATAATCTAGACTCAATTTCTATTTAGCATTAGGGATTATAGTGAATGTTTTTCTATATGCATCTTACTACTAGTTACCAACAGGGCCTAAAAAACAACAGGACTAATAACACCTCCTCCTTACTTCAGTAGGAACAGGATTAGCACATTGGTTTTGACGTTTTCTGAGATCATTTTCATGGGATAAAAAAAGCACAAAAGCTGGTAGAATTCCAATTTAATTTCTCTAGATCTATTAAAAACCTGATTGTAAAAGCTGTACAACATAGTTTATAATGAAAAATACTCTGTTATTGCCAACATTTTCTT